TAGCGGAAAACTTCACGCTGGGATTCTTTAATGTTAGATACACAGATACATCAGGAGATTCGCATAGGTACTGCAGGTTAGTTCCCCGTTTTCTGACATGATTGGATTACCGAAAAAGCATGACCGATCATGTTGGCTACCGGAGGCGTACGAACACAGACCTCTGTTGCTCGCCGTTTCGCCCTTTGCTACGGCAGTGCGGCCGTAGAACGACGGCGGATAGTGAAACCCGAATTCGCGTATATATTCCAGTCGCATGTCATTCATGTAAAACATAAAATCCGTCTTGATTTACTACCTTAGGTACGCCATGTACCTGTAATAGGGGTCGAGACACTCGTCTCAAATCGCTTAGGAAGACTCACCGACTGTCTTAAGAAGACTACTCTATGTATTGGTCTACCTATTTAGTAACACGTAGTATAGACGGTAAGAGGCCTCTCTAGCATAGTAAGATATCTACTATCTACCCATCGATACAACATGTCAGAAAGCCAACGACCTCATAGGTCAAATACGCCTGGGCAAGTTTTAAGGAGTCTCCAACTCGCAGTTTGGAGTCGAGGTTAATTTGGGTACCTAATCTAGGCAATTAATATATACATTCAACTTCATCCCTTATATTGCATGTTACTAAGACATGCATAGTACTTATTGAGACGAGGAAATGAGGCAGATAAACAGAAACTCGCTTCTTACGGTTACATATAAACGCACTCAGCCAGCCCCTTGCAAGGCAAATAGTTGTATGACCATTCCTCCGTAACATACAAGGCAGCGAGGGTATCACGAGCAACACCAACTACTTATCCTCCCATACCTTGGACAAAACCAGACATCACAATCACGTCAAGTTCTCTGTCAGCGCGAGTATAGCCAGAATACGATCAACTAAAACGGGTATTTTCTCCAGCAAACGAATTCCATTCGCGACAATACATCGTAATACACGTACGTAGACCTATCTCTACTGCCTTCCAGTCCCCGTACCCAGGGGGAATACCCGAGGTGTCCATTCCCGGCCCAGTAAAAACAAAATAACACACCGCGATTCCAACCCAACAACGCCTTTGCCAAACGATGGTCCGCCATGCCCTGGCGATTGATTGGTAACTCCGTTCGTTCCCGACTCCCGATCCCGAGGTTGCACGTATAGTAAGTAACTCAGGTAGGTACCTACATACAGTTTATACCAGGTGCTAGACACTAGACAACGCCATGTCACCGCGTAGGAGACACCGCGGGACTGTTCTCCTGGCTCTTATGTAGACTCTCGAGGCTTTCCACCATAGCTAGGACCCTTGTCCGCGGCCGCTCCAGCCGCACTGCCTGCGCGGAAAACACGTCGCCGTCCGGGTCCACCACCGGTGACCGCGATGGCTTCCTCTTCCGGGACTCGCTGCCCGGCTCCACGCCCAGCAGACGCACGCTCTCCTCCCGTAGCGACGTGGGCGTCGTGCGGTGTGTCGGGGTGATTGGCTGTCTGCGCCTGTCCGCAGCGCGCTTCCACTCGCTCTCTAGCTCGTCGCCCACTTCGCGCAGGATCTGCTTCTCGGCTTCCCTAGCTTCGGCTAGACGTGTATCGTCCTCGTTGGGGCTGGGGAGCGGAGTACCGAGATCCTGCTCTTCTATCGTAACAGGCGCGTTGCGACTTTCTGCTATGTCCTGCTCCCGAGTCACCTCCGGACTCACAGCCGTGACGTCCTTGCCGCTCTCCGCGTCCGGCTCGGCGTTGACCACGCGCAGGGGCTCCCTAGGCACCGTGAACATGACTTGCACGAGCCGTCTCTCGACGGCCTTTTCGATATCCCACTCCTCGTCGTCGTCTTCCGCTGCTGTGAGCTTCGGGTTGATCGCACTTGTTGTATCCCTACTTTTACCATTCTCGCTATACCTCTGCTCCATGCCCTCCCAATCCCATCTCCCGCTCTTCCTGCGCAGCAGCCCCCCAGCCGCGATCTCGCTGAAGCCGCTGCGCCGCATATCGTAATCGTTCGCATCCGCGAAGCTATCGTCGACAGGCCTCTCTCTGTCGGGTGTTTCGGATGGGCTGGGGCCGTTGAACACGCGGCGCAGGCTGCCGAGCCAGTTGCGCCGCGGCTTGTTCTTACTCGGGCTTCCCGGCGTCTCGTCGTCGTCCCGGGGTTTGCCCATTAGTAAAGCCGGCCCCTCGGCCTGGAGCGCTGCGAAACTGTTCTTGGCAGTGTTATAGCTGGGCGCCGAGCTCGAACTGCTGCTCCCCCCGCGCCCCTCGTCGCTTGTAGCCCCTAAGGCGGCGGCTGCAATGCCGAATCCGGTGCGGAGGGCTGAACGCACTGAGTCCGAGCGACTTACACCTGGGTTGCTGCGGTTGGACTCGGAGATGTTGCTTTCTGTTCCCAAGTCATCGGGGCCCCGTCTCGCTGGGGAGATCTGCCCGGAAGCTGCTGATATGCGCGCCGCGCTGCGGTTGTTTAGTAACGCATCCATGGCCTGGACATCGGTCATCCAGTCCTGGACCTCCGGGTCCGTAGTGAGATGGCGCTCTTCGGGGCTGGGCGTTATTGAGGCACGGTTGGAGGGCGGGAACGAAATCTGATTTTCTTGCGTCGGCGTGAGGAACGGGTTGGAGTCATGTTTACCGTCGGTATTCATGTCTCGCACGGGGCTAACGGGCTCTCTTGTAATGTCGCCGTCGTGAAGCGAGCCGTCTTCATCTGCTTCAATAATGGGGTGGATCCTATTCGATGGCGGATCATACGTGTTTCGGCGAGACAGCGGCTTCCTTGTTACCTGCGCTGGAGGCATGCCGCCGTACCACGATTGTTGGCCGTTGTCCAAGCTGGCACGAGCTGTCTGCAGGCTCTGGTAACCGAGCGAGCGATTTCCCCGTAGATACGGATCCGGGCCACCTGTATACCAAAGTCCACCAGGGTGATCTTGTTCCATCATTTCGTCGTCGGGGGGTAGGAATCGAGAGGTGTCCTGAGCGAGTGCGCGGATTGCGGAGTCCCGGATCGTACGCCTGTGGCGTTTTCGGCGGCGGTATAAGAGGAATAATAGGATGGCAATGATAATAGCTACGCAGCCCAGGCCGATGCCCAGTCCAATTCCTAAGCGTGTACCAACATCGCTATCACCACTACTCGAGTCGCCGCCCGGGTCCGTCCTAGCGAATTCAGGGTTTGTATATTCGCTAGACCAGGTCATTGATGTGAGGTTGAGGAACATCGGCATGCTGTCACCGCTAGAAGCTTGTCTCTTAGTTGTGGTCCCAGGTGATGATATGTTATAGCCTCCGTAGACCATCATGATGTTTCCAGGCAGCAGTGCAGCACCATGTCCATATAACCCCGGTCCTGGTGGTTGAACGTCTGGAATAGACCACTCCCACTCCCCGTTCCCACCGTAGCTAGCTCCGATGTTGAGAATAGCCAGTTGTGGTGTAGCAGCTTGGGTTAAGTCACCAACCCAACCGCCAAGAATGATTAAAGAAGTCCCGTCTTCATTTAGTACTGCCGTGTGGCCAGATCGACTGTCTATTTTGTCTATATCGCTGCTTTTGACTGCAAGTTCGGTGTTGGCGGAACTCGAACTCCCTACGCTAATGCTAGAAATGAAACTCCAGCTTTCCTCCGGTAAACTCCATATCGCGACGGTGCTCATATTGATAAATGCGTTCTCGGTATGACCACCTAATAGCACGTAGTTGATTTGTTGGGTGATTATGCCTGATCGATTTGAGATGGAAGGGGATAAACCGGTGAATGTGAACCCAGCCTCGGGCACTGGAGGACCATTGTTAGAGACTGGGCCGATCTCAAATTTCCCGGAACCAGTTGCAGGTGGCGCAATCTTAATCATCTGATTCGAATAGGCGGCCTTTTCTTGTGGTGTACTTCCGTTAACGGTCTCGTCTGGACACATTCCTCCATAAACATAAGTGCTGGCCTGTGATAGCACAGGCGCCAGAGTGTTTGAAAAGCTAAAGCCAGTGCCTAAGAAGCTTGGTCCTACTTGGACATTATCTGCCTCGGTCGCTAGCGTAGTGCTCGCTTTGATCCAAGTCGACGACGCATCGTCGTTAGGAGACGGGTTGAACGTCCAGATTTCGGAACTTGCTGGCGATGAGCAGTCGCCGGCGTAGACGATGAGTGATCCATTGTCCGCAAGCGACGGTATGAATGACGTGTTCTTCGTATCAAGGAAGGGCACATTTGACGACAAGGTTTGGAACGGCAACGATGAAGCTCGGAGGTTTCCGGAAAAGTTGAGCGCTAATAGGTTGACCCAATCTGCTTGCGGCGAAAATATGTATGCCACGTTGATAGTCGCATTGTCTTGGGCTGGCGCGGGCCTCGACTCTGGAATGAAGATACTCGTGGGGATATACGGCAATGTCTGAGCTACACCAAGTGTCGTGAACCGCGCCCATGCCGTGACGAGTATCAGATACCGGATACCTGCCGTCACCCGCGACGCTTTTAATGTATCGCCAGCAAACATCGATGTCGCCCCCAAGGAATAATTCATCGCTATACCTAGCTCAACCCTGTGGGAAGCATTGTCTACCTGGCTTGATCCAATCGCATCCAGAAACCCGCGAGTAACAAGTTGAAAAGATGTAAGTCGAAAACTATAACGCGAACCCCACAACCCCGGTTCTCAATTCATGACCTATAGGTGAGAGACTAGGTAGGTTTCACGATCAAGACAGCTAGGCGGGGATGAGTTATGAGTTGTCTCAAGCAGCAGGGTTAGGCGAAGAGCACGGAGCAAGGTAGGGTCTTGTTATTTGGCCTGGCGTATAAGATAGATGCCCCAGGTTATGGATTATGGCGGGGGATATATTGGCACCACACCTTGTAAGCTTATCATACAAACAAAGTACTGGCGTTGTTTGGGGGCCAAACAATATAAAACAAACTGGCGGGAGATGGCGTCGTTGTTACAAGAGATGAGAGGAATATCTCGAACAAGTCAAACAACTATAGGTACATACATAGGATCGATATGACTCTATAACAGGTTTTCCTATCGCCTTTTTTCTCTAATTTTCCGACTCTTCTTGGCCAACTACGTATCTCAGGGCAGTTCTTGTTTGGAGGGGTTGAAAATTGGTTGGCAGGGCAACGTCCCTAAAAAAAAACAATATGACGGGAACTTCCGTGAAGTCTCAAAGACACAGCCATCACTTGACGAAGCTTGACTCTTGGGAGATCAGGAGGACGCGTAATTCACAAATCAATACTAGGTACACCAATACTTACGAGGTGTTACCACAATAAAACTATTGGTCGAACTCATACTCAAGTTATATTACATAGTTAGGTACATTAGGTACCTCTTATTAGTGAGAGTGATGGAATGAAGTCCATTTAATATTATCTCTCTTCTAACCCGAGGAAAAGGTGCCCTAATCTCAAATCGATCTTAGACTTAACAACCGGAAATGTCGTGACTGAATGTTCGCAATCTATCCCTCCATCCCGTAGAGCTGGTTCGGATCCGGGATCAGCTGCACAGGGCAATCTGTTCCATCCAGCCAAACTCTTCACGGCTTATCTGCCCGTCCTGGGCAAGCTGCTCCAGTACACTTCTGACCCGCTCGACCCCTGCCTTCGCGTTACTCATCACCGTCGTGCGTTCTTCGTACTGCTCGAGCAGAGAGTGGGCTATAAGGTAGCCGTTGTCGGTTTCGGTAACCCCTGTGGGAATTTTGACCTGCGCCTGTTGTCGTCCCCGTTTGTACGCGGCTAACTCCGCCTTCAGGTTGTTGCGTTCTGCGGCGCCCTCTTCGAACTTGGCTCGGAGGGCGTCTCTTTCCTTCTCGATCGCTGCTATCCTCTCCGACGTCTTGACCGAGTCCTCGCCTTGAGCCTCCTCGTAGATCCTGTTGAGATGGTTCAGCCTCCCTATTTGATCTTCTTGTATCTTAGTGGCGCTTTCGAGATCGGCTTTGTTAACGGTTAGACGGTTGACCTCAATCCCCAGCTCTTTGATCTTCTTTTCCATGTCCCTGTGCCTCTTATCCCAGGCCGAAGTCCGGTCTGGGTTTGACGGTGCTGGGATTGTAACTACCGTCGGCCGATTTTCTATCTCTTTGGTGTACGACGTGTTGGGGCGGTCCGAGAAAGCCGGGAGGACGAATATGGGACCGCGGCCGCTACCTCTTAATCTGTAAAATCTAGTCTCGAGGTCGACGTGGGCGATACCTCGGAGGTAGTCCTCTCCCTCGTCGTTTCGATCCCGTAGTGCTTCTCCAACCACGTTCCGACGAGACCACTGACGATCTCGTGAAACGCCCTTTGCTTCGCTCTTGTCGAGCATCTGATGGATAAAAGTAAAAACATCCTCTCCGGCGTTGGCCAATATCCAGCGATCTTGCGGGAACACGATCTCTCTCCCAGACCGTCCGTCTGGGCCTTGTACGCTCAAGTGTTGCGCCGGAACGATAGCCTCGCTCGCAAGAAGATCCATTGCATTGGCGTAAGCAATCTCAAGTTCGTGCATGCGGCACATGAGTTGTTGGGTGTGCAAGAGCCACTGCCCGACCAAGGTTGATTTTACGTCCTCTAGCTCTGGGTGAGGGGTTACTTCGTCTTTATCAGTAGGAAGGATTCCGAGTATCCCACCCATGGCCGAGTACTCGTGGTCGAGTCTCTCGAGACACTCGTTGGCGTGCATGAGCAACGTCATGTGAGTTTGAAAGGGACGAACCAGCTGGGTAATATCATCTTCGACCATTTTGAGATCAGTCTCGGTCAGGGGGCAATGGAATATCACGCCTTCCTCATCGCTATTCTGCTTCACTAAGTTGACTAAACTATTCAGTGGCATTCGGTGGGCCTTGTCGATGTTATCATACGGAATCTGCAAGTTGTTCAGCCAGTCATACGCTTGGTGTCTTGGAAACGTGTCCCGTTGTATCTTCCGTCCCTGTTCATCTTGCTGAGGAAGATTTTCGTTGTCGACCTCAGCTCCTATAGTAGTCGGTGCAATGGTCGATATCAAGTAAGTTAGAGACTGGGCGTGCTGCTTTAGAGCTTCTAGAGTTGGTGGCCGGCCAGGGGTAGACAAGTAACTGCAATTGACATGGTCGAGCATTTTGGGATTCGACGAAGGGTTTTCATGGTAGTGGTTAGAATAATATGGCTTTGACCAGTGAGTGGCCCGAATGTAGCCATCCATGCCATCGTACACATCTTGCACTTGCCCGTCGGTCATCTTGAAAGCAATCTCACTCGACGCACGTCTTGGCTAGTACGAATAAGGTGACAACACTTCTTGTGGGAACAAGATAGATATTTCTTAGGAAGGAAAGCGAGAGTAAACAGGAAGAAAGAACTGGTCAGCATGGGAACTATTCTTGATGAATCATTAAAAGAGTGAAAGAAATATCTTTTGACACCGGAATGGCAAGACAATCCATTGAGCTGCACAGCATTCCAGTGCCATTTTAGTGCCATAAAAACTCGGCGAACAATGAAAACGGCATAATAGATTCCTGTAATAAGCATATTCGAAAGCAATTGCTTCAGGATACCTAATAAGAACGTCTATAGATGCATGTACCCATCGATTCCGATGAAAAGACTGAGAGGAGACCTCTAGGGTTAGCGAACGAATCTACTTATCTCACTGAATCCTACATATTTCGAGAAAAAGAGGCTATTAACCTAGTTACTTGCAGCTTCAAGAAGACTAATAGACACCTAATAGACACCTAATAGACACCTGGTGAAGAAGCTCTAGGAACCAACTTCTTTATCCGGATTCGGCTGCCTCTGGGAAAGTGGACACACGTATGGAATGAATGAATCCTAGACCCGGCGTGCGTAGAAACTATATCATCGCCGTACAAGATATGGCGGTCTCACTCCTTGACCACAAAATACGTTTCCAATATTCACCGTACTTCTAGAAGTCGAAGTCAGTGTCGCGTTGGAATGAGACAGACCTGTTGCAGAAAGGCTTAACTGCGTGCACCATCTCGCCACTAGTTGCAATTCCGGCTCTATCCCAAGCATCGCTTCGCTGTGTAAGTAAGTATACCCGATTGGGGTATATAGAGAAGAGCTGAAATAATCTATTGCATGAGTCGTGCAATTTCAAACAGTGATGTCGTGCACGAGTCTCTTCATTATCGGTGGCTTGGGCTAGAATTAGTAGAACTAGTAGTGGTACTTGGTACCATCACATATTTTGGGCTAAGACAAGAAAATAATTACAACCAACGATGTTCGTCGGAGGCCTGGCGTCGAATTCTAGCGTCTTAGCTCGTACTACCTATGTACGCTACCCTGTGATATGTAAAAGACTTACTTAGTACACGCGTGTAAGCGTGCAGGCACTATGATATGTACCTTACGCAAGCGGGTTTATGCGGCCCCATATATCATCCAATATCTTCGCTAGGAATGGAATAGCACGCGAGTGCTGGCTAGCTGCTTAGCCGCCGTGTTCATTACTATGTACATAGTAGTTGATGACGGACCTATAATAGTCTTAGTTTAATATATCGATAGTCTGATGTCATTGATGAATTGAGCGAACTAATATAATAGGTAATAAACAGAAGCAACCGTGACGATAAAGCTTTGCTGTAATGCAGTGCACCTACGTGTACCTAACGTATCTAAGTAAGGTCTTGGAAGTTGGAGCGTTGTGTTTTGCTGTTTTCGTCTTGCTTTAAACCTGCTTCTGTCCTGTTGTCCTGCACTATACGAAGCGCCAATCCTAAAACTTGCAACACTGCGACACTGCGACATTGTGACAGAGCAATAAAGCGAGCGACCTATGAATTATGTTCTAAAAAAGATAAGGGTATACCCATCTTCATTGGAACCTCCTGAAGGCATTGTGCATTCATTAATTGTTTTGTATATTCCTCTTGCTATCTATAGAATTCTTTATATATTCGAAACCGATTTCCAAACATTAATCAACTGCCCAAAGTTTATCGGGAGGATCCCGTAGATGTAGAGGGACGCGATTACCTAACATTACCTAACATTACCTACCATTCTACCTAAAGGTTAGTGCATCTAAAAAGAAATTGGAAGGTTCCAAGGTTGAGCTAGGTTGAGCTAACCAGGGATCAGCTCGACAAGGGGTCCTCGAGTATCACCATCCTGCCGTCATAGGTAACTTCCCCACCCTTGCAAAAACAGCCATCCTATCATCCTGCCATCCCAGTTCCCCGTCCAAGCTTGTGAAGATCTGGCGGCAAGGATTGTCTCTAAATCCTGAAATTTTCTAATAACTCTCACACAAAGTCTAGACTTTTTGTAGTTGAGGCTCGCACTCATGTCAAATACCGGTCATACAAACCATAGGATGCATTTACCAATTCACACACTCCTTTTCTCTTCGTTGCGTACTAGTACTATATCGCTTTTCCTTGGATAGGGAGTGATATTCACGATATATATCCCAGATCTACGGAACGACGATCGCTAACGATTTTCTGGGGCTAATAGTTTCCTCTTTAGCTCAGGTTACACGTACATAGCCGCCTACGTCTTCTGTAGTCTGCCTTTGTTGTTCCCCTTATCTACCTATACACCGCCAGTGGCTGTTGAAAGAAAAGAAAAATACACTCGGCGCGGCCAATTGGAATTGGAATACTATAATTTTGAGCTCTCTTCCGATACTGCTCGAGGCTCAATCAACATCCATTTCCTCGGCCTGTCATAATTACTACGCCTCCTATTTCCTATTGAGCGGAGGCATTATCAACAAAAAGGATGAGCGACCCAAATGACACCCCGCCGGCGTCGGCTGCCTGTAAGATATCAAGACAAAAAGTATCAAGGCTAGGTGAAAATTACTAATGTATTGGAATAGCTCTTTACCTCACTCTCGCGCCTGTTGCTTTGACTGCTGGCGTCTATTTCTCCATATTCCTGTGTCTACGAAAGAGCCAAAGGCGATACTATGCTCCTCGAACCTATCTAGGAAGCCTTCGTCCGAGGTAAGCTGGGAGCTTCGTCGCAAATCCCCTGCTCCGTGATTGAATTTACATGCTCACTCTTTATAACTTAGTGAACGATCACCAGCTCTCTCCAATGGGTGGTTTAATTGGATTGGCGAATTTTGGAAAATTCCTGACATCCATGCACTACAGCATCAATCCTTAGATGCTTATCTCTTCCTCCGATTCTTGCGCATTCTAGTCACCATCTGCTTCGCGGGATGCTGTATACTATGGCCGGTGCTCTTCCCTGTGAACGCTACGGGGAGCAATCATAGTGCTTTGCAGGTAGATATGCTCTCTTACGCTCGCGTTGATAAGGACACGCAGTCGAGCCGCTACTATGCCCACACCTTCATGGCCTGGATCTTTTACGGATTTGTAATGTACATGATCCTACGCGAATCCATATTCTACGTCAACCTGCGACAGGCATTTTTGCTTTCGCCTTTTTATGCCAACCGCATCTCATCGCGAACTGTGCTCTTTGTTTCTGTCCCCGACCGATATCTGGATGAGGCGAGATTACGCAAAATCTACGGCGACTCAGTCAAACATGTTTGGATTACGGGCGATACGGAGAAGCTGGACGATCTTGTTAAGGAACGCGACAAGGTTGCTATGAAACTGGAGAAGGCGGAGGTAAAGCTGCTAAAGCTTGCCAATGCCCAACGCATCAAGTCGGATAAAAAGGATGGTTCTAACGACGAGAAAGCTGAAGCACCTCTGGACGCGGAGTCGGGTAGCTTAGCTGCTCGTTGGGTTCCCGAGAAGAAACGGCCCACCCACCGACTTGGACTCCTTGGACTCGTAGGCAAAAAGGTCGACACTATTAACTGGTGCCGGACTGAGCTGGGACGCATCATCCCCACTGTTGAGGCTGCGCAGGGAGAATACCGCTCTGGAAAATGCAAAAAGATTCCCAGTGTCTTCATCGAGTTCCACCGCCAGGCAGACGCCGAATCAGCCTACCAAGTTTTGTCACATCACCAGGCCTTACAGATGTCGCCCAAATATATCGGTATCACGCCTGGCGAAATTGTCTGGAGTGCGCTTAAGGTTTCATGGTGGCAGAGGATTATCCGAAGATTCGCAGTACTTGGTTTCATCACTGCACTCATCGTCTTCTGGGCGGTTCCGGTCGCTGTAGTCGGTGCAATCTCGAATATCAACTATCTTGCTAACCAGGTCTTCTTCCTTAAATGGCTCCTATCGATCCCCGCGGTCGTTCTGGGACTCATTCAGGGGTTGCTACCCAGTGTTGCGTTATCTATCCTCATGTCACTTGTACCTGTGATCATGAGATGTAAGTTGAAATCTTCTACTATATATCATCCAATACATCTAACATTTGGATATAGTATGTGCCAAGCTCTCAGGAGAGCCTTCCCTATCGCGAGTCGAGTTGTTCACTCAGAATGCGTACTTCTTTTTCCAGCTTATTCAAGGTTTCTTGGTAGTAACGATCGCATCATCGGCAACAGTTGTCGCAGCACAAATATCCCAAAACCCTGGTTCGATTACAAGTGTTCTAGCGGAGAACCTTCCTAAAGCCTCTAATTTTTACATTTCGTACTTCATCGTACAGGGTCTAGGCGTCGCTTCAAGCATACTCTCTCAGGTTACTGGATTCGTAATTTTCACGATCATGTATAAATACCTAACAGGGACGCCACGTGCTCTCTATAAGAAATGGGCAAACCTCAGCGCCATATCTTGGGGCAGCGTGTTGCCGGTATATACCAATATCGCCGTGATTAGTAAGTTCTTCAACGGACCTGGCTTTGGAAATTCATATAACTAATAATACTAGGTATTACGTACGCTGCTATTGCCCCATTGGTGCTTGGTTTTGCTACCGTCGGTCTCTCGCTATTCTACCTCGCATGGCGTTACAATGTTTTCTTTGTTACGGACACCAGTATCGACACTCGGGGCTTAATATATCCTCGAGCATTAAAACAGCTTTTCTCTGGCATCTATATTGCTGAGTTGTGTATGATTGGAATTTTTGCTACTTCGGTAGCCATCGGTCCCTTGATTCTCATGATAGCGTTCCTCATTTTCACCATTCTATTCCATGTCACTATCAACAACGCCATCGACCCTCTACTTTATAATCTCCCTCGGACTCTCGGAGCTGAAGAGGAATCAAAGTCCCTACATGCAGAGAGTTCTACTCGAAACACTAGCCATTCTACTGCCCAGAACGGCGAACAGGACGGTATCTCGGATGCCAAGAAGATATCCTCTGATGACACTGCCGTTGAGGGGAAGAGGCCAGGGTTCTTGGCCAAGTTCCTGAAGCCGTGGCAGTACTGTGATTATGAAACGATGTGCAAGCTTGTGCCTTACGACCAGGTAGACATAAGCAACATGTACACAGACGAGGTTGAACGTGACGCCTACTACCCACCTTCGGTCAGCAGCCCAACTCCGCTACTTTGGATCCCCGAGGACCCAATGGGTATCTCGAAGCAAGAGATCCGGGATACTAGCAAGGTGATCCCAATCACAGATGAGGGATGTATATTAAGCGACAAGAACAAACTAGAATGGGATACGGAGGCCGCGCGACCACCTGTTTGGGAGGAAAAGATCTATTACTAAGCCTAATGCCTGGGGTTTAAGCCTCGTGGCATAATACACAGGCTCACTGGAGAATCACTATGATGGAGGTTTAGCCCTCATATTGCTTTCTCCGTGGTTGTTCCGAATTTGTCTTCAGTTTTGGTATACGATATCAAGTTTAGATCATCAGAATTAGGACTAGGATGAATGTTGTTTTAGGTTGTTATTGTTGAAGTCGATAACGATTAAGGATATGGCTTACAGGAGTACTGAAATGTCTATTATACCCTTCGGATGAAGTTTTGAGAGGGCAAGGTTAATTACTGATTATAATAATGAAGATGATGGCATTCCAATATAATGATCCTTTGTTGTGATAAATTCGTTGTCAGGTACATGTGTTATTACTACATAGATGTATTAAAGAAATGTCGGGCAAAAAAGAAAAAGCGCGCTCGTCTAGTCGGTACATCCCAACAACCTTGAAGCTCAGGTATGTACATTACATAACCAAGCCAATATTTCAGGTTGCTGATGAAAGAGAGCCAAGGCTATGGCAATTCAACCAATCAAAGCGTCGCATGGTCGTCTCATGACGTGCCCACCCCAACCTTCCGTAACATGTAGCATACCTAGACAGCATAGACCTCCTTAGCCTTTTTTAGCTCTATCGCAATCCACTGTTTGTCTCTTCCATACCTTCACCCGCTTTCTGTTGAGCAGTTAGTTATCTACAAAGTGCGACCCGAAACCATAAAACATAAAAATCTCTTCTTCGCTTTACTTACTTCAAGCAAGTCTTGTCGTTAATCCAAGAGTTTTATCACCCCCAATTCGCCATGAGATTCTCTACCGCCTGCGTGGCTGCCATGTCCGCTAGCCTGGCTTCGGCTGGAGGCTGGTTTGGCGGATCCAAAGAGGTCGTCATCAAGGACGTGCAGAAGGTCCCCGGTGACTCTCCGCTCGTATTCTGCGATTCGGACCACAGCAATGATATTATCAAGATTGAGAGCGTCGATTTGCTACCGAATCCTCCCGAGTCGTACGTTTTGTCTAGTTTGACGACGGAGAAGATGGATTGCTATGTTGGATAAAGACCTCTCTGCTAACTGATGAACAATGTGTATAGTGGTGCCGAGCTGGTTATCCACGCCACGGGAACCGTATTCGAGCGTATCGAGCAAGGCGCCTACGTCGACATTGTCGTCAAGTACGGTCTGATCCGTCTCCTTGCCACCAGGGCCGACTTATGCGAACAGATTGGGAATGTAGATCTCGAGTGCCCCATCGAGAAGGGTGTCCTATCTATCACCAAGTCTGTTGAAATTCCCAAGGAGGTTCCTCCGGTACGTCTGGTCAACATACAGCGAATGAATTGGGTGCCAGTATTAACCAAGGTTATAGGGAACTTACAACGTCTTCGCCGATGTCGCCACCGCTGAGGGCAAGCCCATCACCTGTCTTCAGGCTACGGTGAAGTTTGGCGGCAGCAAACAGGACACCATGGGTGATGGTGACCTTTAAATGGCTCCTTAACTATCGAGATGGAGCTGGTATTGCCGTATTATCATTTGAAAGCAGGTCCGGATCTACAATAGGATTGACGATCACGAATTACATGGCACTCTTTTGATGGACGGAAGGGCATGCTTTTTCCCACGTCTGGATTTTAATGGACTCGAGGACACCACAGTTTGATTTTGTTTCCGCAAATTTGTTTCAACGTTTCTTTGATACTGCATGGTAACGGAACGTAATCAGATGGTTTTAGCATTAGTTCGCGCATATGCAATGATACCCCCTGTGGGGGAATATTTGAGTCCTTGAATCACGGTCCTGGACCTTTGCTACTTGGATATCGTAAACCTATCATGCTTGAAAATGACGGCTATAATACAATCCCGCCCTTGTCCTATGTATGAACAGTGTATGTTGTGAGCCCCTTTCGAAACAGTAATTACTCTCCAAAAAGACGTCGCACCCTTCTTAGCACGCTGTCCTTCTCAGGGTCATACGGATGCTCTTTGCTAGGGATCTCGAGTATAGTAGGAAAGGCGGATGTGTAGGTATCGATTCGATATCTGATCTTGTCGGCGATATGCTGGTTAATCAATACGATACCGATGTCTTTCCGCTCTGTGGTAAATGACTCAAAGGCAGCCTCGATAGCTGATGTCTCTGTCTTGTTGTCGACAACTAGGAAGTTCTTCTGGGAGTCCGGAGGGTTCGTGACATGCTAATGAATGATACCTGTCAACAAATGCCCGACTTGGGGCAAATTAACGATAGAAATCTTACACCTATTCCTGCTAATAGCAAGCCTGTGACCGAGTCCTGGTCATTCCCATGATTAGTATTCTGGAATCCTTTTTGACTATACGAGGACTGTGCACACCTCGTCTCCAATGACAGCTAAGAACTGCCTGTCCTTGTAATCCGCATGGGACGCCATTGTTATGAGTCAATCAGAATTAGGCAGCGAAAACGTGGTCCAGTCGAAATAGTAGGCGCTTTAGTCAATAGGGACAGGCTGGTGAGGTTAAGAGAATATGATGTACAGGTAATAAGGCACAATTGCAACCTTGGAATGGAAGTTAGGTAGGTAGGTTAGGTACATAAGGTAGGTAGCCTAGAACATTGATGACCGCTAAAAAAGAGCTCTTACCGCCTAAGTTACGGCTGCAACACAGTCCCAACTGGCCCCCTACCCCGCCATTACTTAGGTAGGTAGGTACCTAACCCACCTATGTAGGTACCCAAGGTACCTAGGCACGTATCCGCCTAATCCAGCCAGTTGGCAGCTGCTATTTCATGGGCCTAGCAGGTAACTATGAGGTAAGCCTGTATGTAGCACCCTAGCAGATTTCGATTTCGATTTCGATTAATGGATCCGCGTCTTCGCACAATTTCCATCTACGCTCGCGACGTTCCATTGCCGTGTTTTCTTTCAGGTCAACAAGAATCACCCTGTCCCAAAACGAGACAACCCAGCAACAAAGGCACAAAGACAAATCACCGCTAGGTCGTGGCTTATTGTTGCAACTTCAATTAAACCACACATGTGAGCTTCGGAGGCATTCTGCAGTTGTTCCCCCTTTTCCAAGTCGACTACAGAACACGATGCCGCCGCGACTGGTGCGTCGGAGACCGCTCGCCGAGCGTGTCAAGGCGATGCTGAACCCTATGGATTTCCTACTGTGGCTATCCGAAGAGATCGAGACGCGCGACTGGAACTCCAAGCTTGTCGGCACTCAGATGGGCGTGGTTATGAACTTCGCTTTCCTGCTCGCCAGGGCCAATAGTGGTGGTTCTCACGCTGTAGATCCCGTGTTCGAGGATGGTTCAGTGTCTGGTTGGTTTACATTCTTCGTAAGTTCCTGGATCCATTAGTAGCTTCGAGCTAGGCTAGATTGCTAACCACGTTATGGCTGCATTGTAGGTCGGCACCATGATCTGGTCATTGGCTAGCTTTGCGGCCGTTAATGCGACCTACACCATGTACCGATCCCGTCACTACCGACTATTCGAAGCGGATGTGGAGAAGGAGCCCGAAACCCCTTCGGCGCATCGCGTCCGCGTCCAGTCCTCCCCCGTATCATCATCGCCTTTACGATTCTTGACGGGTATGATGGGCTCGGAGAGTGCCGAGTCGCGAGCGCATCCCGATCGAAGCCGAGACGTGTGGGAGGTGTCGGTTTGGGACCCGCTGCCGATTTGTCTGCAAATATTCTGTTTATTTAGTCCCGGCCACGTTTTGGTCTACACGATGTTTCTACCACTGGCCCCTTTGGATACGAGGCCGAGCATTACCGTTTTGAATTGCATCGTATTGCAGCTCATCCTGTCAGGACAGCTGCTCCTATTTCAGAACAGATTTACGCAGCAAAACAAGGACACGGCTATCATCCAAAAACAGGTTATGCACGAGTACGATACCAAGTTTGTCCGTCCCAATCTGTATCCTACTGTCAGGGATGCAGCAACACAAATATCGCAGAATGAGGATGGTGACGACCTCGACGAGGATATACAAGTTGGCACGCCTACTGTTCAGCTTCGACGAGGCTTCCGAACGCGACCGAACCCCAACTACGTCAAACATATTGATCCGGATCGTAACAATGGGTTTTCCAACAGCAGTTCAGGGCTATTCACTCCTCCTGTGTCAAAGAGATACACCGACAGTCTAGGAAGTGATATTAGGGGTCGCACTCCTCTAGCTACTGCCAAGCCTCCTCATCGGAGAGGCACATCAGGCCTCTCCACATCATTTAACCCAAATTCATCCCAATTGGGAACTTCTACGAACTATACCTCTGCTCTTTCCTCTTCTACCAACACCGGTAACCATGGAGGTGATGGAGGATATATGGGCGTATATACCCACCCACAATCACCCCTGAAGAAGGCCCCTAGTTTAGGCGAGCTTCAGTTTAGATCACCGCGTAATAACAGCGAGATGGCTCAGCTCGAGCAATACCAATCGGCGAGGGATCGTAGCATTAGTCCTATGAAGAATATTAGGAAAAGCACTGGGGCCACGAGCTCTCAGTCGGGTACTTGGGGACGAGCCCAACCATCATACGAGAGATATCCCTCCATGTGGCGATAGAAGGTCTGTGATATTTGAGGGTTATGCATCAACATTAGGGGCAGGCTGGGGGAGTATGGGATGGGCGTCTACTGTATTACACTGCTTACATTAAGGACTTTTTCTACATTCACCAGCATTTGTACGAATACGAACTGCATCTACAGAGAACTGAATAAAATAGCGGCAGCACTATTGTAATGGCCGTTGACGTATCCCCCTTTTCTGTCTCGGCACGTAACTGACCCCTTACACGTTTTTGCTAATGATTAACTTCCTTCAAGAACCTAAATGCCTCTGCTTTCTATACATGTACTGACCTCGGACGAGTACCGATATCCCTTATTCGTTAAACCTAAGCCGCACATTCCCCAACGTCTTGGTCCGATCCTTCCTAACTTTGATTTGTCTATTCACCTAAACGGTCCCTGGTAGTTGCGTGTCGGCATTGTCTGATCTCATAGGTGAGGGAAACATGAACGGTGTCTCTTTAGCTCCGTTTCACGTCTGTTCCCTCTCCTCTCAGACGGGTAACCACGATTCTCTCTGTCGTCCGGGTCTAGAAGGACCAGCAGAATGGCAACTTCAAGACGTGGCCGGTCTTCATCGTTATTTTCGTCATCATCGTCGCCACATAGCTTGAGCTCGGATTGGCTTTTCGTTTCTTCTCCCGCGAGCCAGAGTCAGAGCCAAACACCACCACCGATCCGGCAGCGTACGTCAAGAAAGATGAGCCCCGTGAGGTCGTCCGTTGCCAATGCCGAGCAGCCGTCGCCCCCAAAGAGGGCGTCCTCGCTCGCCGGCTTCTTCAGCAAGATCCTACCGAGTAACCGTCCAGAACAAGGAGGCACCCGCCGCACGGACTGGACGGGTGATAACGACAATGCGGTAGGGGCGAGCCGTAACGAGCTAACCGGTTGGAACCTTGCCAAAGACAAGTTCCCCGCACACCATACATCGGCAAGCGGGCCAGAAGAGCCCAGTCACCGCCGGGTCTGGAGCTGGAGCCCGCAAAAGGGAGACTCCAGGTTCGTTGAAAACTTACCGAGGGACCGATCCCGTGGGCGTGAACAAGTGCCGGAAGTTTTAGATCGTGAACCCCAGCCGCCTCGAAAGTCGGAGGCGCTGGCAAGGACCGAAGTACACGAACTACTCCAGTCCAAGGAAGAAACCAGGAGAAATCGACGGAGCCTAAAGGAGAGTGGGGATTGGTTAGGGGTGCAAGGTGCTGATCCATACTCGGGACAGTTCTCAATCCTTACACCTACGGATACTCTTAGCTCTGAGACGACCAGCACGTCGACGCGTACGAAGCTGGCCGGGTTGGCGCGGAAGAAGAAAGCCGCGAGGTTAGAGTACGAGCAGCTCAGGTTACTAGAAGAGCAAGAGAAGGATAAAGCTAGGCTAGACAGGGAGCAGGCGAAACTCAACAAAATCGAACGCGTCAAGGAAGAGCTTAGACGTCAGCACCAATTCGCTAAATGGAGTCAGCACAAACGCAACTGGTCTTCCGCCGCCGAGCCCAATCTCAGTCCGATTGCTCAGTCCCTAGACAGTGTGGCACTTGGAAGCAGTGAGACATCCAGTTTGCTGTTTTCGGAGCTGCACACTGACTCTTTCCTATCAGATCCCGAGGATATCACATCGGGTATTCCAAATTTCTCTCGCCCTAATCGTCCGCCAGTATCAAAGATTACTTTACCAGAACAAGCCGAACGGCTTAGTTACGATAGCGCACAACCTCAGGGGCGTAGGCGACTCAACCAATCTACCGACACTATTATTCATAACTCACCAGATGTTAATTTCGAACCTACATATCTCACGAGGCCAGCCACCCAGCCGTCAGGGATACATCTTGACGCTGAGCAGCCGGACATTGGGCGGACGAAGAGTGAAAGGCATTTTTTATGGAGGCGCCGACGGGGAACAGATCCGGGAAAATTAAGTACGGCCCACCAAGGGGGGATAGTGGTGTCCATGGTGGCCCAGAATCTGACGTCGAATTCGATCGAGCACATTCACAAGGATCACTTCGCCGACCTAACGATCCCGGATTATCGTCTCCATCTCCTATCACCAGAACCAGTAGACACGGCCGACAGCCAGTCGACGTTTTCAGAAGACTCACCGTTGACAACGCCCAATCCAAGCTCCTTGGGGATGAACAAAATGGGATTTTCCTCGACCGCGAATCTGGTATACTCACAGGGGAACGGGAGAAGCAGCCAAAGTACGAATAC